AAGAGGGGACGCCTGCGTAGGAGCCCTCCACTTGGGAGGAGACGGCCTAAGAAACTCCGACATCTAGAAGCGATGACCATGAAAACACCCAGGCAACCGCTGCTGGGGACTCGGATTAACCACTCCCCCCACCTGACTGTACTCTTCTGGCTGCCCACCGTGTGAACTACGCCCCTGAAGCACATCGAGGAACAGGAAGTGTGACATGCAGCCCAGGGCTGCAAGGTGCACCCGATCTAGTCCGTCAGGTAGACCACTCCTATTCGGACCAGCTGGGGCCTTGGCAGTGCCCGGTGCCTGGCCCAAGGTAGGCATGCTGCACATACTTGTGCAAAGAATGAATGGAGGAATGGATGGAAGGACCCAAGGCAGATATGCATGGTCTGTTCCTCCGGCTCCAGACTCCATTCAGGTGGGCAGCATGTTTGAAGCCGGGGCCAGAGAAAATTTAAGTTCCCACGGCAGAAAGCGATCATCCGGGCTGGAGTCCGAAAGGCCCTGTGAGCGCTGCTCTCTCCCCTCTTCACACAGGAGAGTGAATTTAAAACAAACGCCCAACTCATCTCTATAAAAACGGAGTGAGCCTCTTTACCAGTTCCCCGCATCTGTCATTTCCTGGAAAGTGTTCTTTGTTCCATTCCCTACCCCCTGCAGAGCCCTGTGCCCCTTCTCTATGGCTGCTGCACAGCCAGTGGTCATGGGCTGAACGAAAGGGCTGTAAGCTTGGGGAGCTGGTAAGCTTGGAGAAACCCCTTCTGAGGTGGGGCTTCCAATCTGGGAGGTGGGGTGGGGTGGGCTGGCCAACCCCTCCCTGGACCTTTGAAAACCATGCTTACAAGTTTGGAGGCCACCATTCCTTATGCTCAAGAGGAATTAACGCTAGACACAGTCTAGCTTTGCAACCCTCCCTGGATTCCAAAATGAAAATAGACCACCACCGATAAGGGGGCCAAACTGAACAAAGCAGGAACGTTTCATTCCATTCCTCATCTACGCTGCGAACAAAACTAAACGCAGGGCACATTTCTGCAAAGCTCCCCATCCCTAGAACGAGGATTTTTTTCCCCCCAAGATGAAAAAACGAATGGTTTAGAACGGTCACCTAGAAGTCACCAAATGCTAGAGGGGGAAACACACCCTTCCCGTCTCTGGAGCAGAAGGAACTCTATCTAGCGGGTTCGCAGGGTCGCTGTCCTTTCCCACGGGGAGAGGTGGGGAAAGGGGGTCCAGGGGGGACCGGACTCCTACCGTGTCTTGCTGCTTAATAGTCTTGCCCTTGTCCAGCTCGGGGCCCAGGGAGGACGGGGAGGAGGACGCGGAGGAAGAGCTGCTGGTGCTGCTGCTGCTACTGCTGCTGCTGCCGGGGTAGCTGCCCTTCCCGTTCTTCTCCTGCGTGTCCACCTTGATGAGCCTGTTGATGTAGGTGCTGCAGCCCGAGCTCCTGGCGGCGCCCCGGTGCGGCTCCTCGTCGGCGGTGCGGGAGTT